CCTTCTCAACGTGGGAACTGAGTCACTGAAAACCAATGTCAGAGTGTATGTATGTATATATATGTGGGCTATACACTTCGACAGAATGTCTTCTCCAAACATATTACATAATGTTACATGTTTGCAAAGAGTCCCCTCGTTTTCCTTTGAATGACCCTTTATGTTTCTTACGTTCTTCTTCGCAGAGATTTCTTTTCCTGGACACCCCATTGCCAATTGATCCACTTGTTCCTCCACGTTCTTTCTGAAATTTTGCTTGTGTGCACTTTTGGGGGGGTAAAGTGGCAACAACAACAACAACAACAACAACAACAACAACAACAACAGCATCAACAAGGAATGTAGACCTCAACAGGTGGCTACTCACAAAGCATGCGCAGTGAAGGAGATGTCAAGATATGTCAAGTGCGTGTGTGTGTGTATGTATATATATATATATGCAAAAGTGATCGCGTGTGTGTGTACATAGATACTGTTCTTTTCAATTCTGCGTTTCCTGGTTGTTCAACACACGGTTTTAACTGGCTCATGTGGATTCGCAGCATTTTTGGCTCTAAGATCTTTAAGTATGCCAAAAGGAGGTTCTAAGCCTAAGATTTCGTCTGTAAAAGACTCTCTCGGGATCAGCATGTGTGTCAGGGACCAGGCCTTGGAATCAAGATTTGAACCCACTTGTGGAGCACACCTCAGCTCTTTGAAACAGTGGTGCAAGGTGACTCGGTGACGCAACAAACACGCGGCTGATGAGGAGACTTCGCGGGCAAAAACCGAGGCCAGGGCCATTGTGGAAGTTGGCCTTTCCTCAAGGCATTTTGCTTTGCACCGTACGTACATTATCGCGTTCAAAAACGATTATGTCATCTTCCAAATTCATCTATACAATGAAATTCAGATTCAGCATTGCCATGTAGGAATGATGGGCCAACAAAAATGAATTGACATGAAAGAGGCACGATGGGCTGGAAGCAAACATGTTGTATATATAAATAATCATATACATTTCTTGATGCACAGCATGAATGCCAGAAGCTCCACCATGGTCTTGCTCGCAGGGACAGCCATTTCGCTCGAGGAAAATGAGCGCGAGCTAGCCCGTATGTTTCGGTAGGATCCGAACCCGTGGTTTCGATATTGGTAGCGGAGCCCCGAAGACCGGGGCTCCATAGGATAGGATTCCTTGGATAGATTAGCATGAATGCCATGAGCTCGTCGAACGAATCCACCGGCCTGCGAACGTTCAGTGGTGATACTGAGGACGCCAAAGAGTATAAACGTTGGCGGACATGGGTTACAAACAAGATCCTCACCCTCGGCGACAAGGTTCCCGACAATGCCAAAGGTGCTTATGTTTACACTCTACTTGCTGGAAAAGCTTTGGAATGTGTTGAGCACCTGGAGCAATCTGCGTATCAGAAAGCTGGAGGTGAAAAGATCATTTTCGAATTGCTGGATCAAAGATTCCCTCAAAAAGACCAATCTGATGAAATGTCGGAGGCCTTGACCGAGGTGTTCCAGTTGCGTGCCCATGAAGGAGAATCACTGAAGGCGTGGGTTTCTCGTGCCACCGAGCTGTTCGATCGAGTAAAGAGGAAAGTCAATGTGGCTTTCCCAGAAGAGGCTCGTGGGTGGATCATCCTCCACCGAGCCGGACTGACGGAAGAACAAAAAGCTGTCATCCTCTCTCGATCGCTCGGAGTGCTCAAGCGCGAGGAGATCGGCAGAGCTATGCGTTCCTGTTATCCGGAGTTGATCATCGGCAAGAAACGTGCTTCAGCTGCTATCGCCATCGTTGATGAGGAAGATGAACCTCCTTCAACCTGGGATGAAGCGGATGCTACACTTGCTGATATGGAGCAATTTCTTGCAGAGCATCAACAGGACGTCCCAGTTGATCCTGATGAGATCTTTGATGAGCAAGAAGTGGCAGAAGCACTCGCCGTGTCTTGGCGAGAACGTCGAAAGGAAATGGTGAGCTTGAAGCGTGCCCGTAAATTCACCCACGCTGGTGATTCCAAGAGAAGCTTCAAGGTCGAGATCGAGGAGATGAAGCGTCGAACTCGCTGCAATCGCTGTGGACAGGTGGGTCATTGGGCCCGTGATTGCAAACAGCCAAAAGGAAGTGGCAAGTCTGTGAAGGGTCCGCCTACCTCCTCCTCTTCTGGCTATGTTTCAGGTAAAGGAGGCGAAAGTGGTGCTGCCTTTGTGGAAGATTTCGTGGCCATGGTCGAGTCTCAAAGTTCTTGGCTTTCGTTGCAACTGTTGCGTGAGCGTCGGGAGGTGCACAAGACAGTCAACACTGCACCTGTCTCCTCCCCTACGTTGAACATTGAGCAATTGTTGGTCAGCTCCCCCGGATATGGCGTGTTGGACAGTGGTTGTGGTCGTTCCATTGTGGGCGCCTTGACATTGAAAGAGTTCGAACCACTGTGGCAAGCCCGTGGCTGGACCATTCCAGTCCCCTTTGCCCAGACGAATCACCTCAAGTTCGGCAATGGCCAGAAGGAGACGACGCAGCTGTCAGTCCGAGTTCCAGTACAACTTGGGGGCCGCCCAGGTACAATCAAAGCTGCCATTGTTCAGGGTTCCGCTCCATTGCTGATCTCACGAAACGCCCTGAGGACTTTGAAGGCCGTGATTGATTTTTCTGCCAGTGAGCTGATCATCTTCGACGAGCGCGTCAAGGTCCCCTTGTTGACAAATCAAGCGGGACAGTTCACAGTCGATCTTTTGGGTGAGCAAGATGTTGCTCTGGAACCTTTTGCAGAGGTCATGACCCTCCAGACCTCTCTCAAGCCCGATGAACATGTTCCACTGCCGGATGAACCGGTTGATCAGAGTTCATCCCACTCCGTTGAGCCTGCCTCACACTCTCAAGATCTTGCGTCAGGCTCGGAAGGTTTGCATGTTTGGAAACGTGAAGATCATTTCCTTAGTCATGTTCCATCCCTAGGAAAGCAAGGCCCGCTGTGGAGCTCAATTCGTCGTAGAGTGGTCACTGACCTGGACACGAATACAATCTTGTTTGACGAATGCATCAACCCACAGGAAGGTAAGAGTAAATATAATCACCCACTACCCAAGCATGTCATGCACACACGTACTGAATTTTGGTTCACGCCTCAGGAACTCAGCCTGGCCGTTGAGACGCTACCTGTCCACCAGCTCCGTCAACTGGAGAGTCAGGTTCGATCGGCCAGCTGCTCTCAGATGTCAGATCTAGAAGGCAAACCGTTCCTGGTAGCAGAAGTGTTTTCTCCACCTCGATGTGCTCCAATAGCAGAACAACTTGGGTTTGCCGCTCGTTCCTATGACCTGAAGACTGGGTATGATTTTCGACGGAAGTCAGATCGTGATCAAGTGTTTTTGGAACTGCAACAAACACCCCCAGAACTTTTGGTTCTTTGCCCACCATGTACTGATGAAGGAGGTTGGTTCAACCTCAACTCTCTGCACATGTCCACCGTCGAGCGTGCGCATAGGATAGCCCAAAGTCGCATGTACATCAAGTTCTGTGTTCAACTGTACGAACAACAAGTCAGCCTAGGTAAGAAAGCTCTTATCGAGCACCCTCACGGCTCCAGGCTGTGGAACTATCCTGAGATTCGCAAGCTTTCGCAAAGCGGACACCTTTTGAAGTGTCACATGTGCCGTTTCGGATTGCGCCTGCCCGGATCTGATAAATTGATCAGGAAGACCACCAGACTCTTAGTCAGTGATGAGACCATGTCATCACTAGCAAGGGAATGTCCAGGCCATCAGCATCCGAAACATCAGTGTCATCAAACCATTGCTGGCTCGGCTCCTGGGGTGGGATCAATTAGTACCTTCGCCGGAGTGTATACACCCCAGTTTGTCAATGCTGTGTTGGAAACGATTCCTGCCTTTAAACAGTGTGCAGCCGCCAGTGTAGTTGAATGCGACCTCTCGTCGGAACCCGCATGTCAAGAGGTCCTCGTGTCAAAGGCAGATCTCGATGATGCACATGCTTCGGATTCACAACTGCTTCAAGTGTTGGACAAGCTGCATCGCAATTTAGGACATCCTCCAGGTCACGACATGATCAGGATCCTCAAACATGCACAGGCCAGTGAACGTGCCATCGCCCTGGCACGAAAGCATGAATGTGATTTGTGCAAGAAACACATGCGACCCCATGCTGCTCTTCCAGCCAAGACCAGTCGTGTTTCAGAGTTTAACCACACGGTAGGCATTGATGTGAAATTCTTGCCTGGTTGGAAAACAAATCAGAAGGTCAAAGCCCTGAATATTGTTTGCCACGGCAGCTGTTACCAGTTGGTTTTGCCATTCCATGAAACTGAAACGTCCTCTGTCATTCGAAAGCTGTTTGCAGAGAACTGGGTTCGTGTGTTTGGTCCACCACGTGTGATTCTGATCGATCAAGCCCAAACAAACATGGGTGAGGCCCTTCAGAATTTCCTAGATCTCCAAGGCACTGAAGTCAAGCAGATCCCAGGGGAAGCCCACTGGCAACTTGGTCGTACCGAAAACCACGGAGGTTGGTTTGCTAGAATCTTGTCAAAGGTGATTAGTGAACATTGCCCTGAAAATGTACTCCAGTGGGAAGAATGTGTGATCCATGCTCATGTGAAGAACAGTATGATTCAATACTATGGTCACACACCTCACCAACATGTTTTTGGTCAGAATCCACGAGTACCGTCAGACCTGCTAGACGAGCCTCTGAGTGTCATACCGGCCACTGCCAGCCTTAGTGATGAGCAAATGGCCAAAGCACAGGCAATTCGTTCCTCGGCACGAAGAGCTGTGATCGAGATGCAGGACAGCAATTCCTTGCGTCGAGCACTGTTCGCCAGACCTCGTATAGACCTGCAGTTCGCTCCAGGTGATCTAGTAGCTTATTGGAGAAATCAAAAGTTTCAAGCGGGTCAAAGTGTGGTTACGGGGGGAAAGTGGTTTGGTATCGCCGTAGTCATTGGCAGTATTGGTAGGAACTACATTGTTGCTCATCGTCGTCAAGTCTTCCGAGTTGCACCAGAACAAATGCGTCCTGCCACCTCCGAAGAAAAAGCCACTGTACTGACTCCTCAAGCCGAACTGTTGGGAATCAAAGACCTTATTGAAGGGGGCACATTTCGGAGTCACAACTTCATTGATCTTGTTCCTGGACATTATCCTCCTAGTCAACCAAGTCCTGATCCTCCAGATGCTAACATGCCTGGTCAAGAGCCGAACAGTGCTGAGATTCCTCAGATTCTGCCAGAGAATCCGAGTCGCACGGATAGCCATGACAAGCCGACCACTCCAGAACCACCTGTTGCTGCAGAGATAAAGACTGATACTGTGCCTGATGAAGGAAACCATCCTTTAATCTCGGATGAAGATCGCCCTGATAAGTCTTGGCTTGAACCCTCATATGGTCTTGTTCGTACCAAGCATAGGTTGGATTGCAAAAGTCAGCCGTCACGTTTGTATCGTCCTCCTCAAATGAGTCAAGATGACTTTGTTGAAATCATGAGAGAATTAGTCCCTCAGCTGATCGAACAAACAGTTCACCCGTCATCATCGGAAGCCAGTAGTGCTAGTGGAGTCAAACGTTCTGCTGACTCGCCACCATCCCCTACGTCAGAGCCACCCGCACAAAAGCCCAGAATCGATGAACACTTGCTAGTGGAGTCCGGCACATGCCAAGAAGTGCTGTCTGTACAAGACTGCCACGAACTGTGTCATGTATGGCAAACTTCTCAAAACATTGAAGTGCTTGTCGCTGCATATCTCCAAAAGCGAGCTGCGAAAGAGATCCCAGCTTCCGGTAATGAACCAATACTACAAGAACTTGTGGATGAATCTAAATTGGTTGAGTGGAATACATTGTTGGAAAAACGAGCAATTCGTGTGCATACCGGGAAGCACGCTCAATGGTTGAAAGAAAATCGCGCAGATCGTTTCATGGGAAGCCGATTCGTGATTGTTCGTAAACCCCTTGAAGAGAACCTTCATTTGAATGTGAATGACCCTGCCACATACCGAGTCAAAAGCCGATGGTGCTTGCAAGGTCACCTCGACCCAGATTTAGAGCATGAGGGCCTCTTACAAAGTCCTACCCTCAGTCAAATTGGCAGAATGATTCTCATGCAACTGATCTCATCCTTCCAATGGGATTTGCAGCTAGGGGATATAAAGGGGGCATTCCTAGAGGCAGGACCCCTTCCTGAACGTTTTCGTCCGCTGTATGCCCGGTTGCCTGCTGGTGGCATACCGTCCGTTCCGGATGATGCTGTGTTGGAGATTACCGGAAATGTCTACGGACAGAACGACGCCCCGGCGGCGTGGCACAAGGCGTTCGACGCTGCTGCAATTGAATTTGGTTGGGAACGCTCACTGTTCGACGCCTGCTTGTATTTTCTTCGTGATACTTCAGGCAAGCTCTGTGGTGCCATGGGCGTTCATGTGGACGACACAGCCCTAGGAGGCCATGGTTCTTACTTTGATGAAACCGTAAAAAGGTTGAAAGAACGATTTCCGTACCGGAAATGGCGAATCCAATCTGGAGAGTTCTGTGGCGCCTTTTATACCCAAGATCCACAGTCCAAGAGCATTTCGATGTCTCAACAGACCTTTGCAGAGAACATTCGACCAGCTCACATAGCAAAAGGGGCCAACAATGAACAAGGTCTTCAGGATTCGCAAGTCAGAGTTCTTAGAGCCATAAACGGTAGCCTCAATTGGATAGCCTCTCAATCCCGTCCAGATCTAGCGGTTCAAACAAGTTTGAGTCAACAAGCCTTTCTGCATCCCCAGATCCGTCATCTGCGAGAGGTAAACAATGCAGTTCGTAGAGCCAAACAACATAAAGATGTGAAGATACAGTTTCGAGCGATTCCACCTGAGAACTTACGCCTGTGTTGCCACTCAGATGCAGCTTTTGCAAATGTTGGCTCTCATACTCAGGCAGGGTATGTTATTGCCTTTGTAGACCAAAAGCTGGATAAGGGAGAAGTCAGTCCTTGGACTCCAATGACCTGGAAAAGTTACAAACTTCCAAGAGCAGTCTCTTCAACCCTGGCTGGCGAGAGTCAAGCACTTTCTACTGCCACCGGAACGGTGGAATGGGCCTGTCTGATTTTGAGTGAAGCCCTCGATGGAAAGTTCGAGCCTCGTTTGTCCCGACAGCGATTAGGTCTAAGGCCGCCCATCCTAGCAACAGATTGTAAGTCATTGTACGATCACCTGACCTCTCCATCATCCCCGACAGCAGTGGATGATAGACGTACAAGCATTGACATCGTAATCATCAGGGAATCCACAAAGGCCACTCATGCATCCATTCGCTGGCTCCCAACGAATAGAATGCTAGCTGATGCACTCACCAAAGATAAGATGGATCCAGTAGACTTACTCCGTTCCTGCCTACGTAGTGCTACCTACCAGATTTCTCCTGAAGAACATGTGTTAGCACAACAGGCTAAAGAACGAGAGCTTCGATTGCTAAGACGGAATCAGTCCACCAAGGAAAAGAAGCCGCTTCGTGAGCAAGCTGATTCTATCGAGAATTTAGAATGCTGATCACTTGAGAAGTAATAGTAAAAGAAATGTTTTTGAGATTTTCTCTGAAGGGGTAACATTCTTTGGAACTATTCGAATCAAGTGTCTTAGATGCATGGTTTTGTGTTTCGTTTTGCCAGCTGCCGAGAGCCGACCGATTTTGTTTCAATCATGAGCATAGAAATTGATTCTTGGAACCGGCATCCTTTTGTGTTCAAGTGGTCATCGCTTCACTGACCTTCGGCCGATCGATATGTCCTGGACTCAGGAAGAAGCAACTCAGCTTCGCGCCTTGTTTCGCAAGGCCATGCAACATGGCATCGAGCCGGTGGAAGCCTTGGGAGGTTTTCCCCATGTGGATGATTTTGAGTTGGTGGGCACCATGTCGGATGCCGCAAAGCGCCAATCCGATGGTCAATATCCAGTTCATTCGAAAGCCAACCGCAAGCTGCCGATGCCCATGCCCTCAACCAGTGAAGATGTTGACAAGCAGGATGGTTGCTATGCCACGAGTGCAACAAATTTGCCGTATCCCTCCTCTTCCGAGGTGCCACTGCCAAATTCGAGTCTCCCTCCTTTTCCTCCAGGAGTGACCAATACAGAGCAGTGGGGCCGATCGATCATCAACTTCGGCAAATACAAAGGAAAGAACATCTCATACATCGAGCTCCTTTCCTCCACCAGTGAGGATATGCGTAGTTATGTGAAATGGTGTTCTTCTCGACAGAGCACTGCAGGTGGTGAATTGAAAGACCTCACCTCTTTCATGCGCCGCTACGAGATGGAAAATTCTCACAGTGCACTGATTCGTGGAGAGTTGATTCCAGGAACGACGGCCCGACGAAGTTTCAAGTGAGCTTTTGATGGCCCTATGCTCGGTGGAAGAATGCTGAAGTGGAAACCTCAAGTTTCTTGAAGATTTAAGTTTGGAGATTATAAGGAATCTTGATGCACAGCATGAATGCCAGAAGCTCCACCATGGTCTTGCTCGCAGGGACAGCCATTTCGCTCGAGGAAAATGAGCGCGAGCTAGCCCGTATGTTTCGGTAGGATCCGAACCCGTGGTTTCGATACATTTATACATATGTATATATACACAATACGGATCAATACGGTATCCGCAAGAAAGAGACGCGACGCTAGACACCTCCAAATGTGTGCTGAATTTATGTAGCTGTCGCATTCTGTTGCAACCACATTTGCCAAGCGGCGCATTGTGAAGAAGATGCTGTGATGATTTCAGGTTCAGTATATTTCAGCTAAGGCTCGGGTAAATGGGCTTTGGCTGATTCACATTCGGCTGTGAATGCTGATTCGCACTTGATTGACTTCGAGGCCCCTTTGCCTGTTTGAACTGCGGCCAGCTGGACCTGATTTCTATAAGCAAGACACAATGACAGCAAACAAAACACGTACGCTGAGGGTAAGGCGCTTCCGGAAGTGTTTGCCGTTCGTTGGTCATATCGGTGCCTTGTCAACAGTCGTTTGAAGGTCTTAACAATCTCAACTTGCTTTGGGTCAGAATGGACTGAGGACTGTGCTTGTTTTCGCACGCTTCACTTCAATCCGACGGCCCTCCTTGAGCTCCAGGAAACATGATCCCTCTGCGCCAAGGAGCTCGTCCACCTACAACGCGGATAAATGCAGAGTAAACCCGACCACTCCGTCATACTGCCTGTCGTATGCAAATCTGAGCAGTATTGAGCCATGCACGGTGTTCGGGTCCTGGAACACGACAAAGCCAAAGCCGCGATGGTTTGACACTTGGTTGTGCCCGTTTGCCTCGGTGGGAGGCCGATTCAAGCAGGCGAACAATGGCGAACAATCACATTGATATACCTCGGTGTCACCAGATTCAGCTCTGTGCAGATGCGCCACCGTCAGAGCGTTGGCGTTGCAGCCATGCCTTCAAGCCAACACGCAATGCTACAGTAGCCTGCAGCCATGGTTCCTCGACAGGAAAGACTACAAGTGGCCTTGCTCACTGGCCCGAACGTTGAGAAGAAAACCTTCAAACGGAGCTTGCACAAGGTCTTTCTTGACAAAGACCCCCTTGAAAAATGTTTGCACTGAGGGATGCGCAACCAAGTCCTCTTGTGTCATTTGCTGAGGAATCCCTCCAACAAAGATCTTTCGCACCTCACACTCAGTGTAACACTGTCTTACAGTATCTCACTGTGTTGATCTGCGTTGCATAAAAGGGAAGTAAATGGAATTTCAATAAGTGAAGCAAATCTGGGTTCACTTGCTCATAATTGCTCCATCTAGAGGACTAGACCTGAGCCTGCAAAGGGGGCAAAGCTTTGAAGCGTTCTGCATCCTGTGGCATGCACCAAGTCAACAAAGCGAATAAGGAAGTGTGAATGATCCCGACAGCAAAAGTGACCAAACACTATCAAACACTCTAAACAACAAACTTCTGATTAGAACCTGGCCACTCGAATTCGCTCTTCGGGTACATTGTCCCTGTCCTGAAGTGTTGGTGTGGGAGCTGCAGAAGATGGAGTTGGACTGAGCCTCACGAAAGGAGGCTTTTTGCTGGTGCCAAGTTGAAAGGCAAGGAGCAAGTAGATCGCGATCATTGAAACATGGTCAATAAAACATGCCAGGAATGCTGCATCCGGCCTGCTCGGATTCGAGCTTAGGGTGCTCTTCAAAAATCACAAACTATCAGAAAAGGGACTTTGCTGTGGCTAAACCGACTGGGGGACTGACACTGTTCATCCAGGCTTGGAGTGGCACCAGCACATGTGCTGACAGAGCTCAGGGGTCTATTCCTCACGAAGCCAAGCAAGGATTTAAAAGTACAGCTGCAAAGGCACCTCAAGCAATTCGTAGCAACACACTGGGATACTCACTCACACTCCCAAACCAGGCGTCCAGGTGCGGCACCTCCAGGTTAGGAGAGAGAAAGGCAACTCAAGGCCACATTCCATGGAAAGTTTACCACAGGAATTGCACAAAAAAGGCCTTGTTTGCATCCCGATCTCTCATGATGACAGACATATGGATGTCTTGTTGACGCATCTTGTTGAGTACAAACTGCGTATCCCACCACAGCTTCTCTAAACTTGATGATGAATGAGCTTTTGCATTTGCTCGTCCGAGTCTGCTACCTACTCATCTGACAACTCTGACTCAGTTGTGTGTCCATCTGCATTGTAGTCACAACGAGGGCCGACTAGACAGAAAAACAAAAGTCGAAAATCAGGGCATATAGCCGACCAAGCCTTTAAAATGCCCATTTTGTTAAAACACCGCGCAAATGACCCAGCACTTCCCAAAAAAATCACATGGCCAGGCTTTTCAGGCCAATATCATGGAAACCAATGAAGGCCATCCCTTCCAGAGTGCTGCAAATGCAGAAATCACCAAGGAGAACTGGGCAACAGGATTGACGGCCAACAGGCCCAGAAATTGCAGCTGAACCTGGACACAGAAGTAGAAACTAATTACAGTACCGGCAAAGCCATGGCACACGATGTCGTTTCCAAGCTTCTTCGCACAGTGTTTAGCGAACAAATGCTCATGATACCTTTTTTCTTGAATGATGTTTCCATGAAAAATGAAGAAGTACCAGCTGAGTTTAGGCAAAGGTTTCCAAAGTTCAGTAAACACCAAGGAGAACTGGGCAAAAGGACAAACAAAAACAGCCAAAAGGCTACAAATATCCACGAAAGTTGAACACCAGGCGCCTAAAGCGCTGCAAATACAATTAAAGTCCAGATCAAAATAACAAATCTCTCACAACACTGCAAACAAGAGGGAAACCAATAATAGAAAGCCAAAAAATCAAAGTAGAAGTCAAGATCCATGGATGTCCATCTACTTGGCCGTCGTTATGCATACCTAGACTGAAAGTTTGTTCAGCATTGGGGGACGACTTCAGCCTGACTTCACCTCCCTTACCATCACAGATTCAAGGTCCAATCACCACAAATTTCCTCGCAATGTCAATTCCGAACCCTGGATAATTCTGGGACTAAAGCCAGCAGGTGCTGAAAAAGTTCAAGTACAGTAGTAGCCTGCTGGCTTGCACAAGTTTCATCCTGCCAGTGGTTTCGGTTCAAGGCGTGGCTACACAAGTCAGAAGTATTTACCTGATATACGGCAGAAAAGATCGGATGTCAATCACAGACTCGACTGGAAACGGGACCGGCCCTGCCCTGAACTAAAACATCCGGCTCGGTCTTGCGGCTGCTCCGGATGTGTATATATGAAAAAAGTTTGTATATATAAAAACTCACGGTCGATTCTTTTCACAACGCCCCGCAGTTAGTCACAAAAAGACATACCGAATCCTAACAGAATGGTCTTTCTCCAGACCTTAACTCTTTAGGTTTGACCTGTCCAAGGTCGAAGGAGCTCAGCTTTCCCAACTCTCGCCTAGCCAGAGAGAAGGGAAAACCCCCCTTGCCCCCCTTGAAGCTTTTCGCCTAGCCGAAAACTTCAAGCTGGTGCCTTTTTTCGAAAAAAGTGGCAAAGAAAGACCCCCCTTCCACGTCCCCCTTTTTCTGCGGCGCGCCCGCGAGCTCAAGTGTGGAGGTGAAGCTTGGTTATGAAAAACTCGCACGAAGGGCAACAAGGATTTTTGGGGAAGTCTCATGTCCGCCAGCACTGCCATGCTTTCGTTCAAATATATTCGGGCAGTTTTGGCAGCTTGCCACCTTCCAGCTACCATCAACTTATCGAACGAACCGTGCTTGGTGAACCACCAGGTGGCACCCCCCCTACGTAACGAGTAGGGTCGAAACTCAAAGAGGGTCAGTTGTAGTGCTTGCAGGCATTCCGAAAACAGCCTACGCCAGGCTGATGTTGAAGAGGCGAACAGGGCCTGTGGTTTCACACTCTGCTTCCAGGCCCATAACCACTGGAGGGCTACCGCAACCGTCAAAGTGACCGACTCAGACGCACCTACACGTTTCCCACTCTTAGTCAGTCCAAGGCTAAGGACAGCGGGGGCAGATGCTGTCTTCATGAAAACGGAGAACTCCGTAAGGTCGTCAGTTCACCTGTACGCAGCATCCGACACGCCGAACCCGAAGTGGCCATGAAAAAAGCTCCAGCCGACCATCGCCTCAAGCGCGGCCTCTGTCAGCGGTGGTGCCCTATTCGGGACTTCATTGACATTCCATGTCTTTAAAAGTCTCCAGGTCAGCTGAAGCTGACCCTTAAGCTTCGGATCTGCGTCCTGCAGGCCGGCCACCGTATCGGCTGCCAGGCCGCGGCCTTCCCCCTCGGACCACAGGTGCTCTATGTATTCCGCCAGGAGACTGTCAAACTGCTCCCGCCGGAGAAAGTCATAAAACTTTGTACGAGCGGCTGCATATCTATTGCTATTGCTAGTTTGGTTGAAACAGTGAGACTTCGAAGCGTGCCTAGTTCTTTCCTCTGTGCTTGCCTTTGCTGTTTTGTCTGACCTTCAAGAACCTTCTTGCCTACTTTCCCCATCGGCGGCGCACAGGCCTCCGGCTAGGCCGGTCGGCCGGGTTTTGCGAGGTATGTATGTATCCCCAGAGGGGATGAAGGTCAGCCGCCAACAGCAAAGCATTTAGCCTCATGAGGATCGGTCTCAACTTGCGACTCGAGCTTCGTCCCCGAGTCAGCGCATGTAGGCACACCAAACTGTCTGTGAGATGAAGAAAACGTACTCCCAGCTTCTTGGACCTGCTCACCTTCCATTTTATACTAGTATAGATTGCCCGCATCTCCAGGAGATTTATATGTTCTCCCGCCAGCTTCCATCTCCATCCCGAGATTTCACGCCAATGCCACAGGCGGCCAGGGATGCTTGCACGGAGTCTGAAGTAACGCGGGGCTGGGTCACTCACCGCATGAACCAGGAGGTCTTCGCCT